AGAACACTCAAATTCTGTGGAAAAAATAGAGATTTCTCAAGAAATCAGTGGAAGACATTGATGTTTGTAAGTAAAGTCCACCTTGTGTCATGGAATTGAGTTATTTCATGGAGACTCAAAAACATACAAGTTGGCAATAAATCAAGAAGGCACTATATAGGAATATGATAAGAACAAATATATACAGTATACAATGAAGCATGAAGAAATTATAGAAAACATTTGTGACAGTGGGCTTGGTGACCATTTCTTATGTAAAGTTTTTGGAATCTTGAAAAATGGCTTAAGGAAAATGAATACTGAATGATGCATTTGGGCAAATATTTGTAAATCCATCTACTGACCAAAGGTCTGAATGGAAAAAAAGTTGAGAAATCATTAGACACAATCATGAGAAAACTGGCAACTGTCTGTAAGTTACATAAATGATTCAGAGACACACTTGTGAAAAAATACACTAACAACAAACAGATATGAATGTGTGCATGTATTTAGTATTGAAAATATAAACTGTAGTTGGAATAAGCTATGACCATTACCATGGCCTATCAACAACTGAGCCCATAAAACAATGATAATTTATATCAACACAAAATTTCATATTGTTGTTGAGAATATCAAGTTATAAACATGTTTCATATCATGAGTCAAAATTACAAATTCTTGCCCAGAATATAGAACAGCACACCGCTTTACACTGAAACTCAAGTTCATTGATATTTAATTGAATAAAAATTTATTAATATGCATATTGTAACCAGTGGTCAAATGGTCTAATTTATGGAAAATTTGTCATAGTTAAAATAACAAGACTCAAAAATCCCCCACATTTTCCACTTCTTCCAAATGAGAAACTTGGAGTTTAAGGACATGAATATTAGTGTTTTTGACAGTCTGCCCATGTCCACAGTGGCCAGAAAGGTCAATTTCATGGCTTAACTCAAATTAATCTCATTAGGACGCAATCAGAATAACAGAATTGTTGTCTATGGGTGTTGCTGCCAACCAGGATATACTGGAATTTCACTGTGGACAATCCACCCACTACATCTCAGGGCAAAGATTAATACTATAAAAGGTAGAGAAGATTCTGGGTCTCTCCAACATGTGTCAGATTTTGACCTTTGTAAGAAGCAGTGAATCCAGGCTCTACCATGGTGAAGTTCCTGCTGCTTGCGCTTGCCTTAGGTGTGTCCTGTGCACATTATCAGAATCTTGAAGTCAGTCCCTCAGAGGTATGTGCATTTGTGGACGAAAGGGCCTGTTGTGTTTATATATACCTGAGCTTGGTTTGAGCATGTTCATTGTTTAAATTCACTATACATCTATACCATATCCAAACCTGATCTTTAATTCAATCCTAGTGTCATTAAACCTCTTTCATGTTTTCAATGAGATCTATCTACAGTGTGAAAGAAGGTTAAGATCAAAAACTTCCAGATTGAACTTTCCCTGTGGGTGATTTACACAGTGCGAACTGTATTCCAGTATCCCACATTCTGGTGTGAATGAGTAATGATGTCATCTCATGATTTTCTCTCTAGGAAGAAGACATCTACATTCACTAGGTCCAAGTTCACTTGTCGGTTGACATAATGTATAATTAGTAATAGTGTTGCTGAAATAAAAACAGGAAATGAAATGACTACCCAACATTCATAATAAGGTCTATGCTCCTTAGGTTGACGGGAAATGGTACAGCCTTTACATAGCAGCAGATAATAAGGAGAAGGTAAGTGAAGGTGGACCTTTGAGAGCTTACATCAAGAACGTGGAATGCATTGATGAATGCCAGACACTCAAAATCACATTTTATACCAAGTAAGTGACATTCATCCAACGCACAGGGACAGGACTGAGAAACAGGGACATGAATGCCATTGTGAAATTTTCACTCAAATAAGTGGGTTATGCATGAAAAATGGAGTTGATCTCCTGGGCCTATTGGAGAACAGTGCCTTCAGCCTTATCTGTGTACTTGACTTCAGCAAGATTGGCTGTGCTATTTTAGTTTCAGAAGGTTGGGTAATTCTGGTTGAAACCAGTCACAAATGGTAAAGGTGGGTAGAAGATTGAGGACACAGTCTTCTCTTGGCAGGCTGGATTTATTGCCCATGCCAGCCATGACGCCGGAGTCTCTGTTTATTTACCCAAATTAAAAATCAGCCCAAGATAGTTAATGCTACCAACACAATAATGAAATATTAGCAATCTGAAAAGAGTAAATTAAGAAGTGAGGCTTTCTTTTTTTTAGGGTGGAAGGCGTGTGCCAGGAACACACAATTGTGGGAAGAAAAGGCGAAGATGGGAAGTATATTACAGACTGTGAGTATATATGTGTATATCTGTGTGTGTGTGTGTGTGTGTGGAGAGAGAGAGAGAGAGAGAGAGAGAGAGAGAGAGAGAGAGAGAGAGAGAGAGAGAGAGAGAGAGAGAAAGAGAGTGTCTGTGTCTGTGTGTCTGTGTCTGTGTCTGAGACAATGGGCACGGTTGGCCCAGGCTACACATGTAGAGGCCAGGATTTCAGAGAAATTTCATCTGATAATTTCTGATGCAAGTTCAAAGTTCTAATTAATCTTTTAAACATTTATGGGAACATGTGAAGTTAATGTTTGTCATTTTGTGACTGGGTTACCTCAATCAGGGTGGTTTCTTCTAGTGCTGCCCATTTGCCTGCAAATTTCAAGATTTCATTGATTTTTTTTCTGCTGAATAGTACTCCAGTGTGTAAATGTACCACATTTTCTCTATCCGTTCTTAAGTTGAGGGGCATCTAGGTTGCTTCCAGGTTCTGGTTATTACAAAGAATGCTGCTATTTCATTTATAATTCTATATTATTGTGAAGGACATTTGAAGTAAGACTTACAATTGAAGTAAGAAAAAACAGTGTGATAGATGTGTCAAATATAATGAAAAAACAAATCAACAACTAAATCATGACAATTCTACTGAGTTCTCAGGTGTTTCTGTTTTAATTGCAGTCTCTGGTCAGAATTATTTCCACATTGTAGAGAAGTCAGATGACACCATGACCTTTCACAACGTTAATGTCGACGATAGTGGAAAGACAAATGTTATTTTAGTTGTTGGTGAGTGTGGTGTTCAACATAGGGGTTCTATTGCTGTGTTAAAGAAAGTTGGGGAGGAAAAGGTTTACTTGGCTTACACTACTGCATTGTTGTCCATCACTGAGGGAAGCCAGGACAGCGATTCAAACAGGGCAGGGACTTGGAAGCAGGCACTGGCACAGAGGCCATGGAGGGGTACTATTTACTGGTTTGCTTCTCATGGCTTGCTCATCCTGCTTTCTTATAAAACTTACGACCACCAGGCCAAGGAACACACCACCCACAATAGGTTGGGCTTTCCCCCATCAGCCACTGATTAACAAAATGTATTTCAGAGTTTCCCATAGCGTGTTGGGCTCTTCCACATCAACTTTCAATCTGGAAAAATGCCCTACAAGGTTTCCCACAGGTCTATCTGATGGAGGCACTTTTCTTAATTGAGGTTTCCTCTTCCCAGATGTTCTTGATTGTGTTCGGTTGACTAACAAGGCAAAAAACAAAAACAAAAACAAAAACCAAAACCAAAAAAGTCCCCCCCAAACCCCAGGTTGCTTTGTTTGACATAGCTGTGAGGGGAGGGTAGGGTAGGGTGGGGACTGGGGGTCGGGAGTTGGGGTGGGTGAGTGGTGGATAGAGAGGGTGTGGTGGGAATTGGGTGGTTGTTAATTTTTGCTTCATGAACCTGTTTATCTGATTAAAACTGCTCATTTTAGTAATAATCATATTCCCGTGTGTGGATTCTAGAATCTACACAGAAATAAGATGAAAAGTCATATCATGCAGATATATAGTTCACAGGTTCCAGCCATCACAATTCCATACAGGACTTTTTGAAAAACATGTCATGCCTATGTTGAAAGCATGAATAAATATAATAATAATAATAATAATAATAATAATCATCATCATCATCATAATGTCAAGAGAGAGTTAGTCTTCAGGGTGGACAAAGTCATGGTTCCTCACATTTTAACTCCATTAAATGTGCTCTGTATACCTTAGAAGTCTTAGGCTGGCTGTGTAGTAGAGGCACATTCTTTTAATCCCAGCACCCAGGAGGCAGAGGCAGGCAGATCTCTGTGAGCCTGAGGCCAGCCTGGTCTACAGAATAAATTTCAGGATAGTCTCCTACAGAGACTACAGAGAAACCCTGTCTCAAAAAACTTTTAGGCTGAGCAGAGTGAAGCTGGTTGGGATAAGGAAGGGTCAGGAAGGCAGGATGTTTCCATGGGTCAGTACTGCATGACCCACTATCACTGTGTCTGTTCTGAGCAGCTTAACAGATGCTCTGTTTTCTATTCCATGCAATGTAGGGAGAGGAGAGAGTTCGAGCATAGAACAGAAGCAGAGGTTTGAGAAGACAGCCGAGGAATACGATATTCCAAAGGAGAATATTGAGGACTTGGTGCCCACAGGTAACACCATTGTGCTTCACACAGCAAAGACATGCATCTGAAAATATTACTAATAATCAATGATTCACCCTTTTAAAATTTAAAAACACTGGAAATACTAAGGAACTCTAACAATATTTTTGTTTGTGCTCATTTTCTCCCTCTATCAAAACTATCTTTCACAGACAATTGTGATCAATAAAGACACCGTATGGGTGAGTATAAACAGGACGGAAGAGCTTACTCATGGTTTAATCTGATAGAATTCATTCTTTTTTAAAACATTTTTCCTTTTTTATTTAAATTAGAAACATGCTTGCTTCACATGTCAATTCCAGCTCCCTATCCCTCCCCTCCTCCCTGTGCCCCCAACCAGGTCCCCATTCCCGCACCCAAGATTTCATTCATTAGGTTATTGGTCATGTATTTTATAGAGGAACTTTTTGTTTATAATTTTATCTCTCTCTCTCTGTATATATATATATGTATATATATATTAAAAGGGGGAAAAGCTATGATTGATGTTGCTGTTAGTCTTTATACCATGACAAAAAAACAAATCTCCCCTAAAGCAGAGTGTAGATTTCTTTTATATATTTTTTATTTGTAAATTTAAATTTAAATTAGAAAAAAGGTTGCGGCACATGTCAATACCAGGTTCCTCTCCCTTTTCCTCCCTTTCTCACACACTCTCTCTCCAACCTCCCCATATCTCCTCATTTCCCCAAGGGGGGTGAGGTTCTTTATGGGGGTGTCCATAGTCTGTCATTTCATCCAGGGCAGGAACTAGACCCTCCCACATGAGTCCAGGGAGAGAGTGCATTTCTCATTGTGGGATGGGCACCCAAACTCCATTTGTATGCCAGAGATACAACTACCCAAGGCCCCATAGATTACCCAGGCCTCCTCACTGACACCCACATTCATTCAGGGGGTGTTGATCAGTCCCATGCTGGATTCCCAAGCATCAGTCTGGGAATCAAGAACTACCCCTTGTTCAGGTCAGCAGTTTCCAGGGGTTAAACCAGCCCAGTCTTAACTCCTTTGCTCATCAGTATTCCCTCTCTTTCACTGGGTTCCTTGAGTTCAGCTCAATTTTAGCTGTGGGAGTCTGCCTCTGCTTCCATCAGTCTTTGGATAAAGGTTCTGTTTCCCAGACTCTCTGGCTGTGGGATTGTAGGCTGGCACTCCCCAGACCAGATCTATGTTTAAAATCCATATATAAGAGAGTACATATCATGTTTGTCTTTTTGTGACTGGGTTACCTCACTCAGGATGTTTTTCCTAGTACCATCCATTTGTCTGCAAATTTCAGGATTCCATTGTTTTTTTTCTGCTGAATAGTACTCGATTGTATAAATGTACCATATTTTCTCTATCCAATTTCCAACTGAGGGGCATCTAGGTTGCTTCCAAGTTCTGGCTGTTACAAATAATGCTGCTATGAACATAGTGGAACCTATGTCCTTGTTATATGAATGTGCATCTTTTGGATATATACCTAAGAGTGGAATTGCTGGGCCTTGTGGTAGAGTGATTACCATTTTTCTGAGGAATCTCCATTCTGATTTTCAAAGTGGCTGTATGGGTTGGCACTCCCGGTTTCTTTTATCTTGATGTGAAAGAATTTTGTGAAATTCTCAACTGTTAAAAATGAGTAATGTCTGTGGAATTCAGGGGTGTATCTTGCATTTGGAAATACTGTAAATGTAGATGAACTTTCTAGAACTCTCCTGAGACACAACCTTGCATATACATTCCTTTTGTAATAGAAAATCAATATTTACATTGAAAACTATCAGTCTTAAGCTCAGTACAGAGATATTGAAGTCAGTGAGGAGAAACTTAAGTCTAACCCTATGACATTTGGCATTTTTATCAAACCTTCCACTATATTCTTCATCCATTATTTTTTCATTTGCAATCTTAGAAATTTCGTTAGTACCAGCAGCTCATGAATATCTAACTGTTTTGTTTGTGTTTGTGTTGCCTTTTGCATTTGAAGCTTTACCGATGACAGCAAGATCATGAATATTCCCCACATCAACTTTTGCGTGAAATCAGAATCATGACAATGAAGATAATTCACCATTTTTCTTTTTTCCTTCTAATCTTACAAATGAAGTCAGAATATCTGCTTCATGGATTTTCTTCCTATCCTCCTACTATATTACTGACTATTCTGTTGCTTAAATAAATTGATTTCTCATGCATACAGTTCTGTCTTTAATCAATGTGACATAATACACAACCAACAGACATAGGCACTCAACTTCAACTATTGAAAAATAATCTGATTTGGGATGATTCTAGTTCAGAGCACTTTTCAGTCAGTGGGTTCAGTTTCTACAAACCACATGGCAGTGCACAAACATCTGTAACTCTAGCTCCAGGGGAATCTTCACCTTCTTCCGGCATCCAAAGGTATGGCACCCACCTGGTGCATATACCATATACAGATACACAAATATATATGTAATTCAAAAGTAAAATAAATCTTTAAAAATGGGATTACCCAGGTATGATGGTGCATGGTGTTAATTTCAAAGTTTGGGAAGCAGAAACAGGTGTATATCTGTGAGTTAAAGGCCTGTGTGATCTATATATTGAGTTCTAGCAAAGCCAAGGCTATGTAGTGAGACCTTGTCTCAAAAATAACCACAAATCAATAAACAATAAAATAAAAACTGAACCATTTGATACTAGAATAAGAAATAATTCTTATTGAGAATTAGTACATAATTCATTGATACTTCATAATTAGATGGGAAAATATTGCCTATAACATTATATACATTACATTTAGTGCATGATGAAAACCATCTATGATACATCTTTTAGTATATGAGGCTTGATAGCCAGGATGTCCTAAGGGTCAGAGGGGGCACTCTTAGAAACAAGATAAATGTCTCTCTGTTGTTAAAAAAACCAAACTAACACTTTAAAACAACTGCCAAAATGTTATTGTTTTTCAGGGCTACAAAGTGGTATATCTGCACCCAAATGCATATTGTATTCTTTTGGCCAAGAGTCACAAGTGTTCCCTTAATAGGAGACATTAAAACTATTGTACATTGGACGCTATGGTAGTGTTGGGTGTCCTGGGATTTATTTCAGATTTAGAAAACATGAGAAATAATACAAAAGATAGACACATAGAGGCCAGAGCTTGTATACAGATCCCCCCACTTATGCCCTGCACTTTGCAGGAGTGTCTGCCCTTACCTTTCATAAGAAAAACCTTATTTTCATGTCGTTAGTGCAGGAAGGTACTTTTGTAAATGTAAACCCAGCCACAAACCCTTTAAGCTACAATCTGTCCTTTCTGCAAAATATGCTAGTACAATGTTGGCACAGAACTTGTGGGAATATCCAGTCCATGTCTGACTTGATTTAAGACCCACTCTGAGATGGAACCAATATACAACACTGCTTGAGTGACCTAGAAGTAGAGATTAGATAGCTCAAAAGCACTGGATAAAAGCAAATACTATTAGTCTTTTAAAAAGGAGTGATAAAATGACTCCTAATGATTTCTGCTTCACTCATAGTTCACAGTCTTATTCAGCCATCATCAGAGAGGCTTCCTCAGGCAGCAGCTGAAAACAGGTACAGGGACTCACAGCCAGACATTACACAGAGAGAGAGAGACCTTGGAACATAAAATTCTAAATGGAATGTCTTCATCAAATCCCTCCCCTGAGAGCTCAGGGAGTCCTGAGGAAAAGAAGCCAGGAGGAGTTGGGGAGACAGAAGGGATAGAGACTACCAGAAGAACAAGCCTCTCTAATCAGCTGAGCAAATTGCATATGAATTTACAGAAACGGAGGACCCAAGTACAGAGCCTACACAGGTCTGTATCAGGTTCTCCACATATGTATTAGAGCCTTTGGTTTAGTAATTTTATGGGACACCTGAGGGAGTAAATGACTGGATCACTCACTCTTTTTTTCTTTTTCATTTAAATTAGAAACAAGCTTGTTTTTCAAGTCAATCTCAGTTCTCTCTCCCTCCCTTTCTTCCTTGGCCTGCACTGAACCCCTATCCCATTCCTTTTCTTCTCCCAAGGGAGGGTGAGGCCTTGCATGGGGGGTCTTCACATTTGGAGCAGGGCCTAGGTCCTCCTGTGTGTATCTAGGCTGAGAGAGTCTCCCTATTTTTGGAATGGATTCCCAAATTCCATTCGTGTACTAGGAATCAATACTACCATAGGCTCCATAGATTGCCCAGGCCTCCTAACTGACACCTACCTTCAGGGCAGCTATTCTGGTTTCCCAGCTATCAGTCTGGGTTCCATGAGCTCCCCCTTGTAAAGGTTAGCTGTTTCTATGGGTTTCTCCAGCCTGGTCTTGACCCCTTTGCTCATCACTCCTCCCTCTCAGCAACTGGATTCTAGGAGTCTGGCTCAGTGTTTAGCTGTGGGTGTCTGATTCTGCTTCCATCAGTTACTGGATGAAGTCTCTAGGATGGCATATAAGGTAGTCATAAATCTCATTATCAGAGAAGGCCATTTAGTGTAGCCTTCCATTATTGCTTAGATTGTTAGTTGGGGTCATCCTTGTAGATCTCTGAAATGTTCCCTATTGCCATATTTCTCTTTAAACCTATAATGGTTCCCTCTATTATGATATCTCTTTTATTTCTTTCCACTATTCTTCCCCTGACTGAATCTTTTTGCTCCCTGATGTCCTCCTACCTTCTCCCCTCCTCTTTTCTCCAACTCCCTCTCCCCTGACCCCATGCTTCCAATTAGCTCAGTAGATCTTGTCCCTTTTCCCTTTTCTGAGGGACCATGGATGTCTCTCAAGGGTCTGCCTTGTTTCCTAGCTTCTCTGTCAGTGTGGATTTTAGGCTGGTAATCCTTTGCTCTATGAATAAAATCCATATATGAGTGAGTATATACCATGTTTGTCTTTCTGTGACTGGGATACCTCACTCAGGATGGTTTCTTCTAGTTCCATTCATTTGCCTGTGAATTTCAAGGTTTCATGCTTTTTTCTGTGGAGTAGTGCTCCATTGTTTAAATGTACCACAATTTCTCCATCCACTCTTCAGTTAAGGGACAGCTAGGTTGCTTCCAGCTAGGTTGTGGCTATTACAAATAATGCTGCTATGAACATCGTTGAACAGATGTCCTTGTTGTATGAATGTGCATTTTTTGGGTATATGCCTAAGACTGGAATTGCGAGCGGACCCAGGGAGACCAGGGGACCAGC